TCTTGTCTTGAAAAGATTTATGCATGTATTAACTTACTAGACACTTTCATTCTTTAATTAGTAATAGCAACACGTACAAATATGTCTCACATTCCCATTCATAATTTAATGACAAAGTGAAAATGCATGTTTTAAAGGAGTCTGTTGGAATTCTTAAGTGAGTAGGAAAATGCCTTAGAAAATATCTTCTGAAAAATACAAATATTGTTGAGAGTTACTGTTGAGTTGCTTCTTCTACATGGCAATTTTGTGTGTAGAATACAGCTGTTCCATAGGGTTTTCAAGTCTGTGACCTTTCAGGAGCAGATTGTGAGGCCTGGTTTATAAGGTACATTTAGGTTGGTTCAACCATCTACTTTTTGGTAAAAGTAGCTGAATAATTTGCTACATCATTGAAAACCAAGATGCCAGAAGAAGTAGCTGAGAAATTTGGGAATGTTTACAGATGATCTATATTAGCAGTCAAAACGAGGCAGGTACCAAACTGTTGAACAGACCAATTACTCATGTGGATGATCACATTGAGGCTGAAGAAAATTAAGACAAACCCATGAGATCCAAAATATAATCTTAATGTATCTCACATGAATTTATAAACCATTTTATAAAGTTTGTAACATTGAACATCAGTGATAGATCAGATGAGACGATATCGATGATATTATCCATGAAGAGAACTAAAGGTCTCTACAAAGACAGAGGAGGAAGAAAAAACAAAATAGATGTCAGAAGAGACCTTGAAAATTGCACTAAAATGTCATGAAATGAAAAAAAGCCAAGAGTTGTTGAGATAGAAGAGGTGAGCAGAAGATTTCAAAGGGTAGCTTGAGAATACAGAACAAACTATTATAATGGAATATGCAGATTTCTAGAATTGAAAAATAAGAGGAAGAGCTCACTCATAATTTCTCAAGCTGAAAGAACCAAAAAACAAATTCAAGCCTTGAGTTGCAATACTTAGATGCTATGGGCAATATCTTGAATGATATAGGAAACATCAAAAACAAGATTGAGCACACCAACAAGACAAAGGTAAATAACCCAATTGAAAAATGGGCATAGCATATGAACAGACACTTCACCAAAGAAGACATTTAAATGGAAAACAAATACATGAAGAAATGTTACCTAGCTCTCAGAGAGATGCAAATCAAAACAACTATGAGAGATCACCTCACCCCAGTAAGAATAGCAAAATTTAACAGAACAGCAAGCAACAAATGCTGGCGAGGTTGTGGAGAAACTGGAACCCTTATTCACTGTTGGTGGGAGTGTAAAATGGTGCAAACACTATGGAAGGCTGTATGAGACTTTCTCAAAAAGTTGCAAATAGAAATACCATTTGACTCAGCAATTCCACTTCTGGAATATACCCCAAAGAGACCATAATTGCCACCCAAGCAGATATATGCACACCCATGTTTATTAGGGCTTTGTTCACAATAGCAAGGAGTTGGAAACAACCTAAGGGCCCATCAACAAATGATTGGATAGAGAAGCTACGGTATATTCACACAATGGAATACTATGCTGCATTGAAAAACAAGGAGCTCATGAAATATTATACAAAATGGATGACCCTAGAGGACATTATGCTGAGTAAAATATCTCAGTCATAGTGCCACTGTTGTAAAACAAGACTGACATTGGGGTTGAGGGGTGACTGAGAAAGAGGGAATAAATAATGCATACTGCATTGCAACAAGTGAGGGAGAGAACCATTTGAAAACGATATATGATTAGATATTATTATCATGACACGAGTCCAGAATGAAGGCTGCATAGTGGGGTTGACTTCAGGGGAGGTATTGTATAACAATGAAATAATTTTTATTTTACTTCTCAAAGAGAAGAGTGAATTGTGGGGGTGTGGACGGGGAGAAAAATGCAACAATGAATGAATGGAAGTCCAAAGTTCATTAAAATTAATAAAAGAAGAAAGGGGAAAAAAAACAAAATAGAGGTAACACACAGAATTATTATACCAAAAAGAACTGACTGACACTCAGATATTTTAGAAAATATGATATGATCTTCCAGGCTTCCCCTCTGCCCAGGGGAAGCACGCTCTCTGTGTTCCCCCAGCACCTCCTCCCGACGGCTTTTCCTGTGTACCTACAATATGCCTCCTCGCTTTTATCTGAGGTGGCTTCTGCCAGTGCACATCAAGAGCCAAAGATCAGGAAGGAAGAAGTTCAAGCTACAATAAAGGAATTGACAAAAAATAAGGTCCCAAGAATTGATGAGATATGTTTCAAATAACAGATGCAGCCCTGGACATGCTCATCAGACTATTTCAGGAATTTTGAAGGAGAGTTGCCTGGCTGACTGAGTGGGAGAGATCCATATTTGTTCCCATCCCCAAGAAAGGTGTCCCAACAAAATAAGGAGACTAACAGATAATATTATTATCACATATGAGCAAAATATGACTGAAGATCATTTAAAAATGGCTAGAACAATAAATAGACATAGAACTTCCAGAAGTTCAGTCAAGTTTTAGAAGAGGCCATGGCACCAGGAATATGATTGCTGACATCAGATGGATCCTAGCTGAAAGCAAAGAATACTGAAAGAATGTCTGTTAAGCTTTATTGCCTATGCAAAAGCATTTTACTGTGTCAATCATAATAAATGATGGCTAACACAGTTCAAACCCACCAGCTGATCTGCGGGAGAAGGATGGTCGATCTCCTTCTGTCCAATTTACTGCTTCTGAAAACTCACTGGAGGGTCCACTGTGGGTCGGCTCAAACTCGACAGTACAAAACAACAACACTGAAATAATAGGAATACCAGAACACTTAATTGTGCTCATGAGAAACTTATAATAACAGTCAAGAGACTATTGTATAAGTAGAGTAATGGAACATGACTATATGGCTTAAAATATGTAAAAGTGTACATCAGATTTGTATTCTTTGCCCATACCTTTTCAATCTGTAGTCTGAGAAAATTATTAGAGAAGCTGGACTTTAAGAAGAAGAATGTGGCATCAGGATTGGAAGAAGACTCATTAATAACCAGTGTTATGCAGATGATACAACCTTGGTTGCTGAAAGTGAGGAGGGCTTGAAATATTTGCTGCAGAAGATTCAACACTGCAACCTATAATATGGATTGCAAAATCAATGTCAAGAATACAATATTTCTTACCTTTGGACCAATAGATGGAGAACAGATTTAAATTGTCAACAGTTTCATCCACTATCAATACACTCACTTGGTACCAGCAGTCAGGAGATCAGGAGACATATTACATTGGGAAAATGTGCAGTCAAGATCCTCTCCAATTACTGAGGAACAATGATGTTAGATTGAGGATCAAGGTGCTCTTGATTTAGACCATAGTCTTTTCAATGACTTATTATGCATCTGAGAGCTGGTCGATGACTAAGAATGACAGAAGAAAAATTTCTTTCTTTGAACTATAGTGTTGGAGAAGAGTAATGAATAACTATTAAAAGAACAAACAAATATGTCTTGGAGAAGGTACAGCCAAAGTCAAAGTGTTTTTGGAGGCAAGCATAGTGAAGCTTTATCTTTCGTTCTTTGGGAATGTAGCTAGTAAAAGCTATTTCTTGGAGAAGGATGCCATGCTTGGAAAGGTGGAAAAATGGTGAAAGAGAAGAAGACCCTTAACCAGGTGAATTGACATGATGGCTACAGCAATGGAATTGAGTATGTCAGAGATTGTGATGTTGGCACAGGATAGAACAGAGTTCAGATCTGTTGCTCATAGGATCACTATGACATGAATTAGGATAACCCAAGAAGAATTGCTATCTTTGAATTGCCTTGTTGGGGAAGATTACTGAATATCTCATGGACTACCTAAAAGAACTAATGATTCTGTTTGGAGGAAATGCTAGTAGAGTGCTCCTTGGAGACAAAGATGATGAAACTGTCTTTCAGGCTTTGGGCATGATGGTTAGAGGTGCCTATTTTTTGGAAAATGGCACCATTCTATGTGACTACAGGGATTCGCTTGAGCATGGCAGAGATAGTGACAATGTCACAGGATAGAACAAGGGTTTAAATGGGTTGCTCATAACCTTGTAGCTGTTTTTTTATACATATTTAATTAACGAATTTTTTTCTTATGTGTTAGTCCCACTTTTATATACATTTAGGATAATTTTGGGTATTTTGCTGTTAGCAACAAGACTTTGATGGAAATCATTATTTTTGCACACATGAGCTGTATTTCTTGTGAAGCCTTGCTCGATGTCATACTGCCTGGTCAAAGTTAACATTTTAGTAAGGATTTCATCATTTTCTTCCCAAATAATATCTGAGGCTAGATTCTTGCAACCATTTTGCCTATAAATAACTATAATAGTGATTCTTTCATGCAATATATTTTCTTTTTATGGTCTGCATGAGTTAGAACTCTGTAGATGGGAATAGAAATGGAATAGGAATAGAGGTTTCACTTACACTGCTCTCAAATTCAATGAGAATACTTGTCAGACACTTCTGGGTTATAGTAAATGAAGATTATTGGTTTTGTATTTTTAGGGGAAAAACATTTCTGTTCTACTTAGTGACTTTCAATGAGGATTAAATTTATATTGCATTTAGTATTTTAGCACTTGTTTACATTCAATACATATAATCAATTGTCAATAGATGTAATTTTAGCTGTTTAAATACTAGCAATGCTATTAGAACATTCTACAGCAGAATAGGTATTATTGTTATTTAGAGCATAACTCTAGCATTGAGCTCTGAATAAATATAATAATTTTTAAAACTAGAAGCTGAATGATGGTTTAACTGCGCTGAATGTGGATTTCCTAAATATATATTTTTTATTACATATTAAAACACAAAAGACCACTTATTTGACTTATTTAGGGAATTGCTTTTATGGGGAAAAATATATCTTTGGAAATTTGGAAAGATAACACTTGCCATGTAGTTAGGAGTTTCATTTAAAAGAGTAAAGAGCAATTATGAGTCTTTTCAATAAGAGCACATTTGTTATTCCTCTTTAGGGGTACTGCCATCGCTGGTATTGTGTTTGGAATCGTATTTATCATGGGAGTCATTGCTGGCATCGCCATATGCATTTGCATGTGCATGAAGAACAACCGTGGGACCCGGGTGGGTGTTATCCGAGCCGCCCACATCAATGCCATCTCCTCCTATCCTGGTAAGCAAACTGACTACTCCTTCTAAAGGATGAGATGCATATATTAGTTATGTTCTAATGTTTGAAGCAAGAAGAAAACTAATTCAAGGGTCTCACTAAAATTATCTCCATGTTTATGAGCTATTTACAAGAAAACTTAGATTGAAATTCTAGGTTTTATTAAAAATTACTTAGATAAAAGTAACACAATTCATTTCATATTTGAAAATATTCATATTTTCAATGATTGTCTTGTCATAGACTATAATTGCTAGTCAACCAGTATCAGGATAAATAGGCACATTGTGCCCACTGTGTCTGCATGCCAGTAGGTTCTGGAAAATTAGTCTAGAAAAAGGGCAAACCATGTATCTGAATAACCTTACATCTGATTCAATAGGTATGATTGTCTTGAGAAAAATTATTGACGAAATTACTGATCTATTTCCTTTATGTAATAGAACAGCTTTAACATAATATTAAAATGTCCAAAAAGGAGCAAAGTTAATATATTACTAATGTGACAAGTTATTTTTGAGAACTTGTAAAGGTTTTTCACATACAGACATTGACAGCATATCAATAAACAAAGTACTCTGCCGTGTATTATATTATTTTGAAAGTGCTTTCTAAAGCAACTACACATGTACATTTTGACACATAACAAAAAATAGTCAAGTTCTAAGTTGATCACACCCTCAAAAAGATGATTTTCCATTCATACGCAAGACCTCTCACTCAGTCTTTGTAGAAAAGACTTTCTATTACTTTCTGTCTGCTATATGCCTGAGTAATTCTTCCTCCCTTTATTTCCCATATTATCTTCACTTTCAGGGAGAACATTTTAAATGAATATGAGAATGAGGATATTATTCTTTTAAGTTCTGGTAGTATAGTCTCTAGTGAGTTGCACTACTAACCCAAAGGCTACATATTTCAGACAGTCTCTCTGAAGGAGGTGGATGGGCAATCTCTTCCCACTGGTTTATAACCTTAGAAACCTGAGAGCGTGTCACTGTGAGTCAGACCTGACTCAACAATGAGTTAAGTTTGAACTTTCTTATTCTTCTTTTGTATGGCTAGTCTTATTCTCCTATCTCTTCATAGTAGAGTCTTGCATCTTTTTCCATATTTCCCCTTTACTTTCTTTGGTTTCATCAAATGGATTCAAGATATGCTAATACCTCCAAATGGATCTTGGCTGAAAGTACGGAGTACCAGAAAGATGTCTACTTATATTTTATCAACTATGCAAAGGCATGTAACTGTGTGGATCTTAACAAATTGTGAATAACATTGAGAAGAATGGGAAGACAAGAACGCTTAATTGTGTGCATGTGAAACTTAATCCTAACCCCAGAAGTTTCTGTGCAAACAGAGCACAGGAACACTCCATGGTTTAAATCAGGAAGCATGTACATCAAGATTATATCCTTTTTCCACATTTGTTTAGTCTCTATGCAAAACAAATAATTCAGACACAGGATTTTATGAAGAAGAATGTGGTTTCAGGATCAGAGAAAGACTCATCCCCGCCATTATGCAGATGACATAAGCTTGCTCGCTGAAGGTGAGGAGGACTGAAAGCACTTGCTGCAATGATCAAGGACTACGGTCTTAAGTATCTCAACACCAAAAAGACAAAAATTCTCACCAGCAGTCAGGAAATCAAAAGATATGTTGCGTTGGGAAAGTTTTCAGTCAAAGTGCTGAAGAACAAGGATGTAACTTTAAAGACTAAAGTGCATCTGATTCAAGGCAGGCTCTTTTCAATTACTTGCATGCGTGTGAGAGTTGTACAGTGAATAAAGACAACAGAAGAAGAATTTATGCCTTTGAGTTTTGCTGGAGAATAGCACTGAATATCCTAAGGACCTCCAAGAAAGCAAACTACTATAATTTAGGAGAGTGCAGCCAGGATGCTTCTTTTAAGGAAGGATGGCGAAACTTCATGTTGTTATGAGTGTCTAGTCCTTGGAGAAAGACACTGTGCTCAGAAACATGGAAAGTCAGTGGAGGAGGAGAAGATTCTCAATGAGGTGGATTAACACAGTGACTGTAACAATAGGCTCTGTGTAATAGAGATGATGAGGATGGCACAGGAGAAGGACAGTTCAGGTCTGATGTTCATAGGTTTGCTGTGAGTTGTGCTCAGTTCAATAGCACTTAAAACAACAACCTCCAGAAGGTGCCTATTTGCATCCTAGACCATATTCCTGAGTTTCTGATTTATACCTTTAACTGCCAATAAGACATCTCCACATAGATTGTAATAAACAGACAGGCAAAATAAGTTGCCATCTGGTCAGGTCTGAGTCATTGTGACTTTTTGTAGGTCTGAGTAGAGCTGTGCTCCACAGGGCTTGCAATGGCTGTGATCTTTTGGAGGCTAAACACCAGAACTTTTTTTTTTTAAGATCTTCTAAATGCACTCAGACCTCCAACCTTTCAATTAGCAGCCAAGTGCTTTAATTTTTTGTATCCCACAGAAACTTGGATGTCTAATAGATGTCCTAAATTTAGCATCTCTCAAGTAGAACTTTTGATCCTTCTCTACCCATAGTCTTCATCATTTCAGCTGACAGTACTTCTATTCCTCCAGTTTCTCAGGCCAGACCCCAAAGAGTAATCCTTGATGCCTCCCTTCCCTCCAGACTCATTCAGCCTAGTAGAGAAATTTCTCAGCTCCACCTTCAAAATATATTCCATCTTCTAATTCTCATGAAACTTCCCCGGTGGAAGTCACAATGAGCTCTTACTGCCATTACTAGGGTAGTATTCTGATTAGTTTCCCACCTTGCTCCTTTGGTCCACTGTGTTCTATTCATAGTACAGTAGAATGAGCCTTTTTAGGTAGCTACTAGATCATCTCATTCCTTTGCTGAGAATCTTACAATGAATCCAAATTTTAGAGTAAGAATCAAAGTGCTTTTATCCCATTTTATCCAAACTGAAAGACAGGGTTGTTACAGGGACCTTCAAAGCCCTGCATGAATTTTCCCATTTTTCATTTCTCTCATTATAATTCCTTTTCCTTTATTATTTGTTAACTCTGGCTCTAGTCACATATCCTTTATTTGCTGTTTTTCTTTATTTAAAATTGTAATGTGCCCTGCACACAATAGGCTGTTACTATGACAATGCAAAAGACTCTGGATGAGACTTGACACAGTGACTGGGGTAATAGAGGCAGGTGTGTTGGAGACAATAAGACTGGCTCAGGATAGGACAGGTTTGAGAGCTATTATATCACTATGAGTGACAGGTGATTCGATGGCACATAGCAACAAGAATAACACCTCATCATAAGACTTGATTTAGTCACACCTCACTCTCTAGGGAAGTGCTTTCAATTTCATCCAAGCATAGGTGCATTTTTACTCATTACAAAAGTAATTTTCACTCATTAGTCTTCCCAAATTGGTAAAATTATGTTAAAATTAGAGTATAAGGTAAAAATAGCTAGGACTCATTTTTCATTCCACATATCTCAATTTTCTCTGGGTCCAACTCAGTAGAAGAAGAGAGGAAAGATGAAAGCCTAGCAGAGACATTAATGGGGAGAGAAAATATTCCGTGGATTAGCATGGCAGATTAACTTTCATTTGATCTAAAAAATAAAGCTGAACTCAATGACTTAGACTCATATCTGACTTTCCATTGTGTTTCTGAGGCTGTAAATCACCCAGGAGGAGATTGCTCATCTTTCTGTCTCAGAGCTTCCAGTAGATGAGAAGCTCAATTCTCTAAAATGTGATTAAAAGAAATATTTATTACAGAACATTAAACATTCATATCCTCATTCAACAGTTTTTACATGTTGAATGTTGGCAAAACCATTCAATGGCAACCAGTTACATTCTTCACATAGGATCTCCTTGCTAATTGACTCACCTCCTATTATTTCTCCATCATTTACTTATACTCACTAACCTATAATCAGTACTTGCTCATCTTTTGTTTGTAGCTATTGTTGTCAGTTTGATCTGATAAAGGTTGTTGTTGTTGTTGATTGCCGTGGGTGGAGTCGAGCACAACTCATAATGACTCTATGAACAAAAGACCTAATGCCTTTCCATCACTGTCATCAATTCACCAAATTCATAGAGTTTCCAGAGGCATGTGGCTTA